TGCCCAGGGAGCACCTCTGATTGTCAGCGCCAGTGCTGCGGCTGCGGCGTCCACCGACTGCGTCTTTGTGCAGGTGAGTGCAGGGCACAGCGAGCAGGGGGAAGGGAGGAGAGCTGATGCATGGACCGCAGGGTTCTGGGCTTGCGGCAGGAAGGAGAGAAATTTGGGACTGGATCTGCTGTAGAAAGAGAAAGTAACGTGGTTTGCCAATGCCCATTTCAAAGCACGGCTTTGAAACATGAAGGGGGCAGTGCTGTAACGCAGGTAAGGTTTCAGGGCAGCTGCATAACGGGTGCCCTCATATGTGGAGTGTTTTTTTCCTGGAAAAGTGTTTGACTTCACCATAATTCGCTTTAGTTCCTGAGTCTCCATTTGTCTTTGAAGGAAGCCCTTGCCTGCACAAAATGGGATTCTTTAATGTTAGGATACTGGGAATCAGCTCCACTTCTGTGCCCCAGACAGCTTGTGGCAGTCCTGAGTTTCAGTGGATGCATGAGAAGAACCAAGCTGACTTTTGGAATTGGCCCCAGCTCAGAGCTATCCTATCTGGGAGAGCTCCAGTGCTTCCTGTCAATGCTTTCTAGAATTCTGGTGGAAATTACACCTTATTGGCTGGCCTGGCTTATCAAATAGCAAAAGAACCTCAGTAAAAATCACAGGGTTTCCTTGTGCATTCCAGCAGCATAGAGATCCTCCTTGTCTCCAGAGGGGATAAGCAAAGCAAACTCTGCTGGTGTGTGCTGAAAAAGGGTTGGCCTGCACAGTCCTCAGGAGCAGTAAAATCCATCAGCCCTGACTGAAAATGGTGGTGATTTTTTTATCTGGAAATTCCCTGTATTTTGTTTCTCGCAGAGTCCTGAAGTGCAGCCACCTCCTGCAGCTGAATGCCTGCCCTCTGATGGCGCACAGCACACATCTGAGAATGAGGAGAAGTTGCCGGAATTAAGTTATGAAGATGTGTTTCAGTTTTTCAGTGAGATCTATGCATCACACAGCGCTGATGCAGTGACACTGAAGGCTGCAGAAAGCTGGGGTGGAGAGCTGCTTGAAAGCTGCATCAATGTGGCCATAGAAAGCACTGCTGCTGCTGACACGGTGCAAGACTTTGTGCCAATACAGGGAGCCCCTGAAGAACAGCGAGAACAACTGGATCACAGCCCAGTGCAACTGTCCGAACTCTTTGTTGTGGAAGGGCTGTTTAGTGCAGAGCAAGTAAGTGCTAAAAGGAGGTAAAACTCCTTGGGAAAGTGTTGAGTGGTCTTTGGGTTTATTTCATTTTTTTGTGTTTATTTAAAGGAGAATGGGAGTGTTAAATGCGGATGGGTGACAGCAGAGAGAGAGCTGACTCCAGGACCCAAGGCAGTGAAGAAAGCTGCAGAAGAGGCAGGGGCCCCTGCAAAGCATCCGTGCAGGAAGAGAAGACGCAGCGCAGAGCAGGGTAAGTCCCTGCTAAGAGATGCTACATGTTTTAGAGGTGGGCAAGACAGGTGCTCTGAAACTCTTCCAGGAAGGGGAGAGCACAAGAGCAGAGTTTATTGTCTGCAGTGTAAGTACCTCCCCGGGCCTTCAGTTCAACTACTGCACTCGTACGAGCTCTTGGCGTACTTGCCCACACGCTTCTATACGTAAGCTGGTGCTGAGGACTCCTAGGTGGACAAGGGAATAAATTCTATGCGTCAGTAAAAGCTGAAGCGGTGGGAGTTGTGTCAGAGCCCCGCATGTCACAGTACACAGCACTGAGATGCAGGCTGTGGATATGTTTGCTGGAGGGTGACAGTGCCACAAAGGGAACACTGACTAATGAGGTGACTGTTGAAGTAAGAGAGGAAAACCCCACCACGCTGCCGAAGTGAGGGCACGAGTGCAATCTTTCTGGCGCAGATCACTAAAGAAATTTCACAGCAGCCTGCTGATAGGTGTGCTGCATCTGTGTGCACAGCACCTGTGTGCTGCAACAGAGGAGAAAAACAGCCTCAGATTTTCAAGTCGCAGGCCGCCTTTGGCCGGATTTGACTGTCCCTGATGGCAGCAGCGTTGCTGTGCGTGCTGCCAGGTGAGCCAAGTGCAAGATCCAGGAAAACTACTCCATTAGCTGGGAAAAGCATCGTCCTGGCAATACCAGAGAGGCAAAATCACCACAACGTGCTGGGGCCTGTCCCATGCCCACCGAGCCCTGCTCAGCACTATCCAGTACCCTCAAGGAGAAAAAGACCCCAGCAATGTGCACTGCTGCTACTGCAACCTCAGCAGCAGGCACACTAGCCATTCCAGCCCTGGTGACAGGTACTGCTGCCACTCCAACCCTGACAGCAGACACTTGCGGCCACTCCAGCCCCGGTAGCAGGCACCTGGCCTGAAGCAAAGAACCAGTCTGTGCCGTTATCACTTGCCCCTCTACAGAGAAGAACTGGACACTGAAGTCAGCTCGTGCAGTGACAGAGGACGGCACAGGGCCAGCACTAGAAACTGAAGTAAACTGAAACCGTAGGTAGAGAGGAACCATGTCCATACTAAGCCAGTTAGCCATGCAGCAAAACTAAAGATCATCGTAACCAGTGCCATCTGAAAGAAGACAAAAAGCCCCAAAACCTACAGAACACAAAAACTGAACCATCACTCTGCATGGCATAAGCAGAAAGTTATTTTAACCTGATTACTTCCCTGCTCTAAACTTTAAGCATAACTTTCACATATTTTTAAAGCCTAGGGTTATTCTGTTAAATGACCTACATGTAGTGGCACCCTAAGTGGACACCAGTGTCCACAACTTCTACATGACAGTGCAATATGATTAAGCACTAGATTTCTAGGGGAGGCAAAAGAAACCCACACCAGCAGTGACTCATTCCATTGAAAAGCTTATTACCTGCACTTCCAAAGCAACAGGCTACAGAGATACTGAATGAAAGCAAGCCAGATCCACCTGGAATACTTCGTATTCTCCGCTAAAATTTATAAACATAAACTCTCTCATTTCATATTATAAAGGATTAACAGCATTTGGATGCACAGAAACTGCCTTTAGAGTGATGTGTGCAGACCTCCGAGTCATGAATTAAAATGTCTTTCTAAAATGTAGCAGTCTTAGCACTTCCTCTAAGTGACGGAAAAAACCCATAACCAGAAAAGGAGGGTGAGGCAACACCGAGCTTTTTTTCCTAGACATAAGGCAATCCTGAGAGAACAAGATGTTCGTGCTATCAGAATAAAACCCCAAAGATATAGAACAGTTCACCTTTCCCCCTGTAAAGTTGCTTTTGAGTCAAGATCTGCTCCTTCCCTCGCCCAAGCATGAAACCTCTCTCCAGTTTAAGACCATTTTCAAAATCCTGAGTGAAGCAGAAACCAAGTGCACACACTGGAACATGTACAGAATCTTACTGGTAATAGAAAAACAACACAACACATAATATTATATTGGCTAGAACACTTCAGGTGTTCTGACAAAAAGACTCAGCTTATTGCTAGGAAATAAAGCATCTGGAGCCCAAATCAACTGATGACATTCCAATCAAATGCAAGTTCAAAGAAAAAGAGTATTTTTTAAATTGTATTTAAAAAACAAACAAAAAAAAGAATTAAAAAAAAAAAAGCTGGAGAAGGAAATGGGGGCAGAAATGAAAATCCATCCAGGGAGCCAATGGCATAGCTTGTCACCATGCGGTCTGAACATGACAATTGCAGATATTCAGAACAAGCAAGTCCAAATACCACATTCCCCTTTTCACAGGCTAAAGTAAGAAGTTTCCAATGTATAACAAAGCAAGACCCAGCTAGCAGAAGGCCGATTTTCTGACAGATAAAGCAAGGCAAAAGGATCTTCCTTGCAGTCTCTTGCTCCTGAGCCCCCTTTTTCAACTCCTTTTCTGGTGGCAGGAAGGCAAAGCATGTCTTGTCTCTGTGAGCCTGTGCGCTCCTTGTCTACAGTAACAGCAGGCACCTGTGATTCCTTCTCGAAAGGCATTTACACACTGAGATCAGTTGAATACTGCATTATGAAAGCATAAGCTGCAGTGGACATGATTTGGAATCAGTTATTTTTTTGCCCATCATGACAAAACAGAAATGGCAATTCCTTACTTTATAGACATTCCCTTAAGATAGCAGTTGCTCCAAACATCTGTCAAGTTTTTATATCCCAGGAGAACAGATACAGCCAAAAGAATGTTTATTCTAAAAGGACTACTCTGAACTTCACAAGCAGGCAGGGGCAGCTCCCAATTTAATTAAACTTACACACAGCAGCTCCCAGTTTAATTAAGGATACACAGCACCACTTAGTGGTGAAAGCAGTCACCGCTGACGTGGATGAGAAGTACCACCAGCCTTTTTCTTCACTCCCCCCAAACATGAACCAAGTCTGCCCTGTCCCTCCTCACTAGCCAAATACTATTAGTGTCCTTACTACAAGAAAGTGTACCTACCAAGCAAAAGATGTCCAAGAGACCTGAACCTCAAGGCCAGTAGAGCGCAAGGCTGCTGAGTATCAAACAGATGCATCCACTTTGAAGAGCCTTTCAGCATTCTCCAGCACTGTACCAGTTTCTGGTGACACAACCTCAAGCAGTGTTTAATCAAATGATCCAGCTTTGTATCTGCCTGTACTCCAAAGAACAGCAGTCTCTTGGCTCACGATCTGTCTTTTATATAGACTTGGGTCATAAACAAATGCAACAGATGTAGAAAAACTAAAGACCGACTTTCTACTCCATCAACCAGTTCTAAAAACTAACTTGTGCACTTACTTAACAAAACACAGTAACTAAAAGAAAGTCTTTCATTCAGGACAGATTAGTGCATCTTTACAAGAAAGTAATGACTTCAACTTACAAAGTCAGTATCATCACTAGCAGCGCACGTTTCCTGAAGAGGAAATCCCTGTCTGTTATCAAATATCAACTGCAAGAGTGTGTAAACAAAATAAGCAACAAACAAACACACCCATATTCCAAAAGCTCTATTTATATTATATTCTATGCATACATATATATATGAATATATATATATAATATTACATATATATATGTCTTCATAGATGACAACTGTTTCGATTTATACTTCAGGTCCTTCTCCTCCAGGACCCAGCTATAAAAGAATAAGACAATTGTGTGTTAGTGCCATAGAGTAAAGTTTTACAAGCTCGTATGTGACAGATCTTCTTTTAGAAGATTTTAGCAGATGGAGACTTCATGGTAAACCACAAAAATGGTATTCAGATTTTGGATTATCTTCCTCTGGCAACAGAAGTCAGTTACTACCAGAGAAGCACATGCCAAAGAGAACCTCCAAAATACAAAGAATGTTTAACAAGACACAAAGGAGTTCCTAGATAAGACACGTTTTGGGTTTTGTCTCTGTTATTCATTCCAAGGAGATTTTTTTTTAGTCTACAAACACTACAGCTTGTTTTCAGAAAGACATAGAACATGCTTCCTTTCATGCAGGATTTCTCCAATTGCTCATTCTTCCGCAGACTGTCGCTGTACTGGGAAGTTGGTTTCCCCTTTCTGACTCCTATTGCTAAGCACAGCCCAAAAACTGATAGAGCCTGAACCCTCCTACAGGCAGCAGGGTAAGTCAGCACAGCATTCTCCTGTGAAGAAAGTAAAGAAGTTTTGTGGAGAGTTTTATTGATACATGGCTTGGAGAGCGGGGCCATGAAGAGCACCTACGACTTGTGGGCCAGTAACAAAAGCAAGGTGTAAGCAATAGCCAGGCAACCAATCATAGGCAAGGTCGTTGTGTCTTTGTGCCGGCTGGAAAGTCCCTAATTGCAATAACAGGGTGTAAAAAGAGGCTCTAATTTGCTGAAGTTAACCACAAAAGGGGCGGGGCTGACAGTTAGCAATTAACCAATAATGAGCTCATTATGGATGCTATATAACCTGTAACCGAGCGCTTAATAAACGAGACTAGTTGCATTATAGGATGGACTTGTCTCCTGTCGATTTTCCACATTCAATAAAGGAGACTAGTTGCATTATAGGATGGACTTCTCTCCCGTCGTTTTTCCACATTCAATAAAGGAGACTAGTTGCCTTATAGGATGGACTTGTCTCCCATCGTTTTTCCACAAAGTTTCTTTTAAGTAAACAACTGAACATCAGAAAAAGAAACACAAAAGGAAAAATATGAATAAGAAGATAATTTCTTTCACTGACACATTCTTAATAGTTAGCTGAGCGCTTCTAAAGACAAAGAGCTCTGCTGCTTTTGGGACCAAAGTAAGAAAAAATCTAAAGCATAGTTTTCCTGATGTGGGAAGACGTGCCCCGCAGAGAGACATAAGACCTAATATAGAGACATATCCATGCCTTGCTGAATATCTGCACTCTAAGAATCCCCAGCTTCTGCTTCGTGGGCAGCATCCCACCAGCTGAACTGGACAGTAGTAGTTTTACCCCATACAGGGAGTCAGAACATGCACTGTCCTTCAAGGATGCAGAACAATAACCAAAGCAGAAAAAGGCTTAGAAATGAAGTCAAGATGGCACTTGCTGAGACACACAGTAAGGAGGTGCAAGGTAGGTATGACAGCAAAATGGAGATTATTCCTCATTCACACAGAGCCAACTTGCATCTAAGTCAGTCTTCCTCTTCTCTTCCCACAAAATTAGGAATGCCCTTATGTAGGTACTCCAGACTTCAATGCAGAGAAGCAAAAAAATCTGGGTCTGCTTCTGTAGTGTTTAGGAAGTTGCAGAATCCAGCTTAAGGATGCATAACCACAATATCTAATTACTGTTTCATTACTGATCTACATACATCAGCACATGAGAAACAAAACCCATGGTGCTTTCCATCTGGCATCATCCAACAGGCCTCCAGATATTTTTTCAGAGCACATAAAGGTACATACAGCTCTCTGAGCACCAGGTGGATAATTACCACCAAATGAATCAACATGCTTATAAGCATCCAAAGTGTGCAAACACATTTATATATAAAATAATGGATAAAATAGATGTATTCCTCCTACATACTTAGGCAGGCAAACACTCATAGGAGTTTAAAGCCACTGTATGAACCAGCCTCCAGAGTGGGTAACAAAACCAGCGATTCCTTTGCACACCTCAAGATCAGAAAAACATTCACCTAAGTAAAATCAGGGTCATGCTCTTTTTATTATTATTGTTTTTAAGCTGTAACGTGAACCAAGTAAGGCAATAATACCACTTTTACAGCACCACTCACAGACAAATATGCCCTGGAAGGTATTTGAAAGTACCTTATGCAATAGAATTCTCTGGAAAGCTCAGCTTAAAGTAAATTTAACTTAATTACTAACAGACTTACAGGTACAGAAAATAAATGCATGCAGCCTCTTAACCACGATGACTTACCATTGTTATGTTATTTCCATTTAACAAAATCTGGTCTAGTTTTGTGATTCTTCTGCCCTCAGGTGTAATCTCACTGAAGCAGCATTAAAAAAAGAACATGAGAACATGTAACCAGGGACAATGATTCAAGTTGTGATTACAAAACTGACAAACTTCTCTGCATAAGATGACAATTGCTGGAACTAACAAAGACATCACCCACACTGCAGTGTAACTGACCACCTGGGTAAAGAAAGCTACCTGCCAACTATAAAGTTCCATTGTACTTTTCTGCTCAGTACACAAAGACACAGATTAACCCTCTAAATCTTGGCAATTTCTTGAATACCATCGACACTCAAAATAGGTTTCAAATATAAACATGGCACAGCAAAGTAATAAATACTTATCTTTATGTCTGCCAGCTTTTTAAATCTTTGCTTAGACCTTAAGGAAATGTAAAAAACAAACAAACTTGGCAAGTTCTACACACAATCCATGCAAAATTAAGGCTACAAAATAAGAACCTGGTTACAAGTATACATCATGCAACAGCTACTCTATGACACAGCTGTCCTGGACACATCACCACCTATAGTTTAACTCCAAGATATAAACTATTCAGCTGGCAAGTATTCAAAAAATGCAAACCCACTTTGCTTATAAATTTTACACAATATTTTTTTCCTCGGGAAACCAAACAGAAATAATGCTTACAATTCTGTAACATCTTCTAACACCATATCTGAATACCCAGATTCAAGGAAAATAAGACCCAGAGTTTTAAAATCAAAATAAAGTTATTTTCATTTTTACTGAGCTGTAATTCTATTTGTAAAATAAAAATACCAGAATAATACAACCGACTCATACAAAAAGTTTCTATCCAGTGAACTCAAACCTCTCAAAGGCAATGAATGAGCTGAAGCATAAAGCATTTGGCATAAACATTTCCATCAAAGGATACTGACAAAGTCATCAAATCCTAGAAGTGTTCCAACAATTTCTTTATCACTCTTCATCACAATATGAATGCGGGAGCCTATGCACTTGTCCACAAGCTCTGTAAATAAAAACAAACAACAAAGTTGAAAAGTACAAGAGACTGTTTTATAGAACAAGACATTCTTTTGAACAAAACCCCTGACACTGTGTGCAGTGGAAATCTATTTTTAAAGGTGCACCTGTACTGCTAGTACACGACCACGTTTCTGAGGCTGGAACTCTGCAGGAAGACGTTCCCTTCGGTGAGAACACTTTAATGTCATAGAATCAGTCTGTGTTTCAAGGGCCCTTAAAGCTCACCCAGTTCCAAACCCCTGCCACGGGCAGGGACACCTTCCACTAAAGCGGGTTGCTCCAAGCCCGTCCAGCCTGGCCTTGAGCACTGCCAGGGTGCGCAGCTCATCACCGCACACTGGCCGAACACCAACACTCGGCCCCAGCCGCTGTCTGCTCCGCACCCACAGACACCCACCGGGATCCCCGCTTACTGCAGGAGCCTCCCGAACTCGTCCACCCCATTCAAGCTTCCCGCTAAGCGACCGCGCCGCTCACACCGATCACAAGTGGCCACAAACAGGCTTTTCTTCCTGCATCTCAGCGCTGAATAAAAAGCATACCTACTTTACAACTTCAACGAGTTGTGGAGTCAATCCGTGTATCAGGCACATGGGAAGGGGTGACTTTCCTTCACATCCCTCCCTCTCCCTTCTCATCCAGAACAACTTGTGAAGCCCTGACATGCTTTGCAAGGCTGCTGGGCCATTAGGTGAGCCCCAGTTACACAACCGACTCCTTGGGAACCCCCAAACTCAATGCTGAACTCTTCCAAGTCCTTCTACCCCTTCCAGCAATGTTCTCCTACCATGTCCCCTTGGTCACTTGCACCTGAGGCTGGCTGTGTTCCCACCAGCACCTCTGAGGACCTGCTCCATCCATCAGCTCATCCCAGTTCAGTGTCCAGGTGATGGTTTTTAAATCAGGGCAGGCTCCAGCCTATAAAACCTGGGCTGGGGAAAAAGAGTGTTTTTTTTTCTCAGCCAGGATCAGCCCTTATAGGAGTAGGTGGAGAGGGCAGCAGTGTATGTTTTCTTTTGGAAGGAAGAGCAGCAGTAGCTCAGCCTGGAGAAAGGTATGGTCTTTGTTGTGGTTGTTACCTTGTGGTAGAGCCCCATGTTGTTGTTGTTGACTGGTCTGCGATGGTTCCTTGGGCACCTCCTGGCATCACAAAATGGTTTGGGTTGGAAGAGACCTTAAAACTCTATCTACCCTCTGGCAGGTTAAAGCCATTCCCCCTTGTCCAAAGCCCCTCTCCAGGCTCCCTGTAGCCCCTTTAGGCACTGGAGCTGCTCTAAGGTCTCTCCTTAAGAAGCCTTCTCCAGGCTGAACCAGCCTGGCTCCAGAGCAGAGCTGCTCCAGCCCTTGCAGCTCCAGGGATGGGGCAGCCACAGTTTCCCTGGGCAGCCCGTGCCAGTGCTTCACCACCCTCCTCGTGAGGAGTTTTTTCCTAGAGGCTGACCTAAATTTACCCTGTTTCCACTGAGAGCCATTCCCCCTCGCCCTGCGGTTGCCGTCCCTCTCCTGGCAGGGGGCACGCCTGCCCCCAGGCTTGTGCTGCCCGTTCAGTGGGGTGATCCCGGTGCCCGCCCTGCCAGCACGGGATGCGTTGCACCGGCTCAATGCAAACACCGGGGCCCGTCCATGCCCCACAGACCCCCGTGCACGCCGCGCCGTCGGGGCACGTCCCCGGCGGGTCTCCGCAGCGCACGGCCATTGGCCGCCGGTTCCCGCCGGGAAACGGTGACTCGGCGCCTGCGCGCGGGGGTGCGCGGGCCCGCGGGCACTCTGAGGAGAGCTTAAAACCACCCCGAGCAAAGCACCTCGCTGCAAACCCGAGGCTGTGTGTGCCGCAGCCGGCCCATGAGGTGCGGTGCAGGGGCTTGGAAGCGTTTGCCTTGCCCTGAGGGACGGTGCTGCGTGTGCACAGCTGCCGGTGGTGTTCTTGCTCCTGTTCCACTTTTATTTCTCTACCTGTGATTAAGCTACGGTGACTCTCTCCTTCTGCCTGTGTGAGGCTTCAGTGAAACGACACAACTGCTACAAAGCAGTGTGCTGTTGTGCATCCCCCAGGATAGCACGGAGTTCTAGCCTGGTGGAGTTACCTGTGGTGTTAATTTTGCACACAAATCCACCTCCTGGGGCTGTGGCTGTTCGGGGATAGGGCCGGGTGGGTTTTTTCCCTGTGGCACTCGCTGTTAGCAAACTGAGAGCTATTTCTATGAGGGAGGTTTGGAATAAAGAAGCTTGTGCCTTGCTCCAGAGGATGGGTTAGACTGGGAGAAGTTTCTGTGCTCAAAGCAGGAGCAGCTTCAGAGCTGGACTGTGCAGCTGAGGGAATGTGACCTTGTCCTTGGTGGGCAGCAAAGCACCACACAGCTGCTTCTTCTATTCCACTTGCTCCTGCTGTGGTAGGGGATGGAGGACTAAAGCAAGAAGAAGTGTGTGTGTGGAGGTGTGTGTCGAGATTAAAAAGAAAAAATGGTCTGAGAAGTGCAAGAACTGAAGAAAATAACACAAGTGAGGCAGAGGCAACCACTTCCACCTCCTGTGGGTAGGCTGATGCCAGTCTCTGAGCAGAAGGTGAATAATCCTCCTAGAACCCTTCCTTTTCTCTCGTTGCTGAGCATGATCCCTGTTCTGGTAGTCTGGGTCACCTGCCTGGGGGTGTCCCCTCCCAGCCTGCTGTACACCCTGCAGCATTCCCTGTTGAGGCCTCAGGGCTGTGCAAATGCTGTTCAGCAAAAGCTGCATGGCTGTGTTGGGCTGTTCTGGTCAGAACTAAACCACAGCACCATGTGAGCTGCTGGGAAGGAAAGGAATTCTGCCCTGGCCAGGGGGAGCCCATTTGAGAGGAGACAAACGTCCCTCTGGAGGTGGTGATGCCCCTGTGGGCAGGTGGTGCCAGGGCCTGTGGGCTCCCACTGGGGGGGGCGCTGTGAAGTGGGGAAAAAAGAATGCAGGAAGAAAAAAACCAAACCAAACAACCCAATAAAAAACAGAACAATAGAAAAACCAACCTGAAAAACTAAAAAAAAAAAAAAAAAAAAATGGTGGGGGGGGGGAAGACAGCAAACCCACCTGCACAAAAAAACGAGCGCCTCTTTTTCTCCTTTTCCACAAACCTGAAAACCAAAAACATGTGCGTGTGCACACAGAGCAAAAAACAAAACGGGGGGGGGAGAGGGGGCAAAATGACCAAACCAGTCGGGAAGGGTTTTGGGTGGAGAAGGGACAGGGGAGAAATGTGGGGATGGTGGGGGAGGCAGTGTGGAAAACCCCATGAACCAAAGGAGGGGGAAAAGGGGGGGAAGTGGAAAAAAATACGGATAAAATCCAGCAACATATAAACAAAATAATAATAAACTATGGGGGAGTGTGGAGGAGAGGAGAAAAAAGGCAGGATAGGGAAACTGGAAAAAAGAGAGCCCCCACCAACCAGTGGAGATAAAGGGGGGCGGGGGGGGGGAGGGACAAAAAAGGGGGTTAAAAAATGGAGAGGAAAAAAGAAGTGAAAAAAAATCCTGGAAAAAAAGAACCCAGAAAAAAGGTAAAAAAAAACCCCACGAAACTGGGGGGGAGGGGGGGAACCCGAAGAAACAGAAACTCCACCCAAAACCCTACGGCAGCTTGGAGCAAAATCCCAGCCAAAATAAAAAGGGGGGGGTGAATAACCCCAACACTGTGGGGAAGAAATCAACCAACCGGGGGGGGGGGGAAGGTGGGGAGGGGGAAATTTCGGCGGGAGAAGGGACGGGGGAGAAAAGTGGGAGGGGAGACAGGGGATGGGCTGTGTGGAAAAACCTCACCCCAGAAGAGAGGAAGGGGGGGTGGTGTGAAAAAGTGGATAAAATACATTGATAAAAATATAGATAAAATCCAGCAAAATATAAATAATCGTAATAAAAAATGGAAAAAAGGAACAAAGAAAAAACAAAACGCAAAAAATATTTGGGGTAAGAAACACCAGAAAAAAAAACCCCAAAACTTAACAATCCCAGAAACCCAACAAAAACCACACCACCTGCCCCCCAAAAAAAACACCCAAAACAAACAAAAAGCACTAAACTGGGGAAACCCAGCAAAAGAAAAGGAAGGGGGAAACCCCAAGAACAAAAAAACAACCAAAAAACCCACCCCGTGTGGGAGGAAGGGGGGGGGAGGTGAAGTGTGGAGGGGAGGAAAAAAAGGCAGGGGGAGAAACTGGAAAAAAAGAACCCCCCCCAACCGGCGGAGAAAACAAAATGGGGGGGGGGGGGGGAGAGGAAAAACTCGGGGGTTTAAAAAATGTTGAACAGAAAAAGGTGGAAAAAATTCCGGGGGAGGGGGGGGTGAAAGAACATGGAAAAAAAAGAAAAAAACCCAGCCAAGCAAAACCTGCTCAAGCTGTGAAAAAAACCCACCAACCGGAAGGGGGAAAAATGGGGGGGGGGGGGAAGTGGATAAAATACATTGATAAAAAACAGAGATAAAATCCAGCAAAATATACATAAAATAATAATAATTGAAAATGAAAAAAAAGGAATAAAGAAAAAAAACGCAAAAAATCTTTGGGGGTAAGAAAAACCAGAAAAAATCCCCACAAAACTTAACAATCCCAGAAACCCAACAACAACCACACCACCCCCCCTCCAAAAAAAAACAAAACCAAAACAAACAAAAAGCACTAACCTGGGGAAACCCAGCAAAAGAAAAGGAAGGGGGAAAACCCCAAGAACAAAAAAACAACCAAAAAACCCCACCCCGTGTGGGAGGAAGGGGGGGGGAGGTGAAGTGTGGAGGGGAGGAAAAAAAGGCAGGGGGAGAAACTGGAAAAAAAGAAACACCCCCCCCCCACCAACCGGTGGAGAGAAAAAAATGGTAGTGGGGGGAGGGGAAAAAACTCGGGGGGTTAAAAAATGTTAAACAGAAAAAGATGGAAAAAAAAGGAACATGGAAAAAAGAAAAAACCCAACCAAACAAAAACTGCACCCAAAGCCCCACACCAACCTGGGGAGAAAAACCCAGCCAGGAAACAGGGGAGAGAAGGGAGGAGTAAAATCGGGGGAACTGGGAAAAAAAACAAA